CTGATAAATCACTTTTATTCAGAGTTTAGAGAGAACTCTTCTAACTCAATAATAAGAAAAGCAGCTCAATTTAAAAATGAATAAAAGATTTTAATACAATTAAATACCAAGAAAAAAATACGTGAATGCCAAACATATGAAAAGATGCTCAATAGCATTAGAATTAGTTTTTACTCAGAGCATGTAAAGAACTCTTACAACTCAGTAAGATGACAAATAACCCAATTTAAATATGGGCAAATGATCTGAATAGACATTTCACCAGAAAAGATACACACAGGGCGCCTGGATGGCTCAGTGGGTTAAGCCTCTGCCTTTGGCTCAGGTCATGATCTCTGGGTCCTGTGATCGAGTTCTACATCGGGCTCTCTGCTCAGCAGGGAGCCTGCTTCCCCGCCCCCCCACTCTATCTCTGCCTGCCACTCTGCCTACTTTTGATCTCTGTCAAATAAACAAATAAAATCTTAAAAAAAAAAAAAAAAAGAAAAGAAAAGATACATAAATGGCAAACAAGCACATGAAAAGCTGACCAGCAATATTAGTCATTAGTGTCAGGCGAACGTGATAACCACTACACTATGGAAACAATCATTTGTGAAATGCACATTAAAACCACAATCAGAACAACTACACAACCACTAGGATGGCTAAAATGGAAAGACTAACAATACCAAATATTTGTCAGGAGGGAAACAAAAATAAAAACAAAGACAAAAACAAAAAACAAAAAAGGCCCCTCAAACACTACTGGTAGGAATGAATAATGGTAAAGCTACTCTGGAAAAGTTTTGCAGTTTCTTAAAAAGTTAAGCATTGGGGCACCTGGGTGGCTCAGTGGGTTAAGCCGCTGCCTTCAGCTCGGGTGGTGATCTCAGGGTCCGGGGATCGAATCCCGCATCGGGCTCTCTGCTCAGCGGGGAGCCTGCTTCCCTCTCTCTCTCTCTCTCTCTCTCTCTCTGCCTGCCTCTCTGTCTGCTTGTGATCTCTCTCTGTCAAATAAATAAATAAAATCTTAAAAAAAAAAAAGTTAAGCATAAACTTACTGTACCACCCAGTAATTCCATACCTCGGTATTTACCCAGAAGAAATTAAAACAAGGGGTGCCTGGATGGCTCAGTGGGTTAAGCCTCTGCTTTTGGCTCAGGTCATGATCTCAGGGTCCTGGGATTGAGCCCCGCATCGGGCTCTCTGCTCAGCAGGCAGCCTGCTTCCCCCTCTCTCTCTGCTTGTCTCTCTGCCTACTTGTGATCTCTATCAAATAAATAAAATCTTTTAAAAAAGTAATCAAAACAAATATTTACACAAAAACTTGTATGGGCAAGTTTTATTTATCATTTTGTTCATATTAGCTAAAACTGGAAACTAGAATCTAAATGTCTATCAACTGGGGATGAATAAACAATAAAGATTACGCTACAATAAAAAAAATAAACTCCTAATATATGCACTAAAAAGTATTGTAAGTTAAAGAAGCCAAATACATAAGACTACGTATTCTACAATTCCATTAATTTGGAATTCCTAGAGACAAAACTAGTGGCAGAAAGTGTATCAGTGATTGTCTGGAGTGGGGAGTGGGAGTAGAGGCTGACTACAAAGAGGCAAAAGGAACTTTCTAGGGGGATGGAAATATTGTTTATTTCTTTTAAAGATTTTATCCATTTATTTGAAAGAGGAGAATGCAGGGTTGGCAGCGGGGAGGGGTTTGGGGTGAGGAGGGGAGAGGCAGAGAGAGAGAGGGAGAGAATCCCAAGCAGGCTCTACACCCAGCACGGAGACCAAGGGCGGGCTTGATCTCATAAGCAAGATCATAACCTGAGCCAAAACCGAGTCAGACACCCAACACACTGAACCACCCAGTTGCCCTGGGATGGAAATATTCTAAAACTGGATTGTGATGATTGTGATGATAGTTGCACAACTCTGTAAACTTACTAAAAAGTCTTCAACTACACACTTACATTGAGTGAATTTTATGGTATATAAATTGTACTGCAATTTTTAAAATATTTTTAAAACTAAGGGAATGAATTTTCACTAAATTCATCAAATATTAATAACTCTGCCATATACGGGGTGCCTGGATGGCTTAGTTGGTTAAGCGTCTGCCTTCGGCTCAGGTCATGACCCCGGAGTCCTAGGATCCAGCCCGGCATCAGACTCCTTGGTCAGCGGGAAGCCTGCTTCTCCCTTTCCCACTCAACTTGCTTGCGTTCCCTCTCTTGCTGTGTCTCTGTCGAATAAATAAATAAAATCTTAAAAAAAAAAAAAAAGAACTCTGCCATATACCAGAGAAGGCAAATACGTAAGCAATCCCTAATTCCAAAATGCTTTCTCCAGGTTTAGCTAAGTGCCTTAGGAATAGTGAGGTCATGGGGCTAGGAGAGAAGAGACAGAAATGAGAAGACAGAGCCTAAGGTTGTTGCCTTGGCCATATCCTAATTATTTTGAAGAGTAACAGGATGAGATGTTAATCAGACTGCTCTTAGATAGACAGCAGAAACTTTTTTCTTGTTTTTTTGTTGTTTTTTTAAGATTTTATTTATTTGTCAGAGAGAGAAAGAGAGACTGAGCAAGCATGGGGAGCAGCAGGTAGAGAGAGAAGCAGGCTCCCTGCTGAGCAAGGAGCCCATCCCAGGACCACGGGATCATGACCGGAGCCAAAGGCAGATGCTTAACCAACCAAGCCACCCAGGTATTCCAGGATGCAGAAGTTTAAATGGTCTGATTAGAGCCCAGGAAAACAGCTTTTCCAGCTAACTACACTGGTCTTAGACTTCACCACTGAGGGACATTCTCAAGAAAGCAAAACAATGAATACAATACAATGGCACAGAGAAGTTTTATTTGATGTGATGCTGGCTTGCTTGCAAGGGAGTATATCCTAGTCAGTACTGGTTGTCAGATCCGGTATTTTCAACTCCACTTATTTGTGTTGGTTGAACACACTCAAACTAGTAGGCAGACTCACCAATGACTGTCAAGTACATGAAGAAAAGCTAAAAAATTTAAGAAAGTCAGACTGGGCAATAGTGACCAAGTGAAGAAATTAAGACTTTCTTAAAATACTCTTTAGTTGCTATGAGCTAACATTCATTAAGTTCCTACTAAATGTTAGGGATTATTGTAAGCACATTTAGATATATTTGTTCATTAAATACTCAAAAACTCTATGAGCTGTGGAGTGTTTTATCTCCTTTCTATGAGTGGGGAAACTAAGGGACAGAGAAGTGAAGTGACTTACTCGAGGACACAGCTAATGAATGGCAAGGCTGAGATTTTAACCCATGAGTTTACCTAGAAAAACAGTGGTAACCACTATATAACATTGCCTCCCCATTTATATATTTATCCATTACAACTGTGTCCCTCTTCTGTTCAAAATTCCCTAGTGTTCCTCTGTACTCAAGGTCGAAGCCAAAGTCCCTACAATGGTCTACAAGCCCCTATGTTCTCTAGCTTTCCATCATCTCCCTAAAACATAATCACTGACCCACTGAGTTCACTTTGCTGTTCCTGGATCACGCAAGACTTATACCTACCTCAGAGCCTTTGTATCTGCTGTTCCTACTTCCTGTCATACTCTTCACTGAGACAGTGGAGAATTGCTTCCTCGTTCCCTTCAGACCTCTACACAAATGTGACCTCCTCAGAGAGGCCTTCCCTGATTACTCTTCCTAAAATAATACCCCCAACCCTTCTCTTAATTATAAGCACCTCGCAATGTTTATTACCTAACTCCACCATCTAGAATATAAGCTCCATGAGAGCAGGGCCATCTGGGAGTGTGGCTTTGCACCACCAGTGCCTAAGACAGCACTTGGCAAAAAACAGACAATACCTGAATTTAAAAATCTGCCATATATGTTTTGAGTCACAACCCAATCATGTAACTTTAGGTAACAATTCATGACCCTGTACCAATAAAATCCAAACCAAAAGAAAAAAATGCAGTCTTTTAGAACCTTTATTTCTATTATTTAAGATTTGCTCTTCCTTAATGTGTATGTGTATATTTCCATGCCTTCTTTAAAAAGTGAAGTTTCTTTGGGAAGACAGATGACTTCTATAAGCTTTGCTATACAAAAAATTATTCAAGTGTGACTTTTTAACTGTGTATTGAAGGGGGAAAATAACCCCAAGTTGCCAATGGATGCCTGTCCTTCAAGGGAAAATGAAATTCTTAAATACACTTATTTAATACTGCAAAATAAGTAGATGATACATATTGAACTTCGGGCTCAATTTACACAAGATTCTAATTTCCTAGCAACAGCTAGATGACTTTCTGACTATTAATACCTCAAAGTTTGCCTATTAAAAAAAAGAGTAAAAAGCACATTTTTTAAAACTTTTCACTTTATTTGGGTCATTTTAGAACACACATATTTGCTTTGTTGTGGTTGTTAACAGAGCAGTAAGTCACAGAACACCATGAGCTCTTCCTCAATAAATTAAATGCTCCCTAGGAGGAGAGGAAAAAGGAAAAGGTGAAGGAACATACGCAAAAGTAAAAACAGTATGTGCCAAAAGACAGATTTTTGTAAGAAGGCGAGCCACCCCGTCTGAAACCGCAGGTTTTGAGGAGGCTGGTTTCAAACAAATGGAGAGCGATGGGTAAAGTCCAACTCTCCAAATACTGTTGTAGATCATCCGGAAACAAATACTGGCGGCACTTGGAGAGTGATCGAAAGTGGAGTAGTAGGGCCCTCTCCTTCCCACTCCTAACAAGTATCTCCACTCCACTCACCTTGCGATTTAGATGAGTACAAATCACATCCCTACTTTAATCAGGGAAGTCAGAGGGAGTCGGACATCCCTCCCTATATATACACAAACCATTCGCCCCAGAGCTGTAAAACGCAGTCCACGGAATCTGGAAAGACAGAAACCCGGAGTCGCTGGCATCTCTCACTCCAAGTTCTCTCCGCTTTCTGAGGCTGAGCCGAGAGGACTGCCACAGGGACAAAGCGGGGAGGAAGGGGGCATCTCCCCCTTACCTTGATGGCTTTCTCCATGTCGCTCTCCTCGGACATGCTCCGTGGGGCCTCTACGGCCGGGAGCGGCGGAGACTGCGCAGCTGCCCGGTCCCACCGTAGACGAGGGAGCACGGGGCTCGGCGTTTGGGCCCCTGGGCCTCGGGGAGACGGGCAGCAGCCGCCCCCAGGGACCGGCGGGGATGAGGGCCCCGGCGCCGGTTCCGCTTCGGTGGGCGGCTCTAGGCTGGCGGCGGCGGCCCCCGGGGACAAGCCTTTGTGCTGGGCCCCGCGCGGCCGCCTCCCGGCTTCATCCCCGGCCGGGGAGGCAAGCTCCCGGGGCAGGGCGAGGCGGGGAGGGTCCCCGTCCGGGGCGCGATGCAGAGGCCTCGCGGGGCCGCCGATTAGGCCTGGGCTCGCCAGGTCCTAATGAGGAACCTGCGCCTCCGTCTCCGCCGCCGGCACCGCTGCGAAGCCGAAGCCGAAGCCGAGGCCGCCGCCACCGCCGCTGCTGCTCCCGATGCCGCTTCAGCGCCACACATCGCCGGGACACCCGCGCCGGGCAGCCCTGCCGGCCGGCCGCCCGCCTGCCGGCTCTGTGTCCCGCCTGAGCTACGGGCCGCCCCTCCTGCCGCCCGACTCCTTTCCCCCACGGCTGCACGCGCTGCTCGCCGCCGTCCGCGGGGGTTTCCGAGTGCCCCCAAATCACGAGGTTGATTTGCAGGCGTCCGCCAGGGCCCCCTCAAGCTGCGCCATACTCAAGACAGGCCCCGGGGCCCTCCGCAGCGCTGGCGTCGCGCTGATTGGCGTAATACGGGGGCGGAGCCACTGGAGAACGCAGCCTGACTGGAGTGGCGTTCGCGCTCCTGGTTTCCTCTCCCGGCGGAGAAAGAGGTTCGTTCCGCCAGAAACAGCCTTCGCGACGGAGCCCGGGCGGGGTGTTTCAACTCCGGATGAAGAAGAGGAAACGGAGGTCCTGGACGGGTCCAGCGGTAAGAGAACAGAACTGTGTATAATTATAGCAGTCATAGTTATATGTTCGGAGGGCTAATTTTACGTGAGGCTCTCTTCCCCCACCAGGTTCTATCCCCGCGTTTACAGGTTACGTAGCGGAGAAGTGGTCAAGTCCGAATTGGAACCCACGTTTGTGCCCCTTCCACTACACCAACTACCTGTCCCAGGACCTTGTACGAGCTGTTGGCAGATCGCCTCTTGGTGGGTCTTCATTCGTTCAGTTACGTACTGAGCACCACCGTGTAGCAGCCCTGCCCAGCACTTGGGAAACAAGAGTCGGTACCTACTCAGTGGTTCTTACTTTCAGGAAAGCTAAGCAACAAATAAACAGAGGGAGACACAGAGTTTGTAGATACTAAGAAGAAAGTGAACAGGATGCTGAGGTAAGAGGATAACTGGAGGGGCGCCTGGGTGGCTCAGTGGGTTAAAGCCTCTGCCTTCGGCCCAGGTCATGTTCCCAGGGTCCTGGGATCGAGCCCCACATCGGGCTGTCTGCTCAGCAGGGAGCCTGTTTCCTCCTCTCTCTCTCTGCTTGACTCTCCGTCTACTTGTGATATCTCTGTCAAATGAATAAATAAAATCTTTAAAAAAAAAAAAAAAGAGGATAACTGGATGTGGGGACTTTTCCTAGTTGATGATCAGGGAAGGGTTCCTAGGAGGTAACATTTAAGCTGAGACCCCTGAGAAACGAGAAGGAGCTGACCATTGGAAATCTGAGGAGGAGATTTCTGGGCGGGTGGACCAGCAGGTGCAAAAAATCTTAAAGTGCAAATAAGCTGAATATGTTCAAGGACCAGCAGAGTGTTCACCGTAGCTGGAGCAGAGCAAGTGGAAGGAGAAAATGACAAAGAATGAGGTTGGAGAAGTGGGCAGGGGCTGTATCATACACCCTAGGGTCATGGTAATGACTTTAGATTTTATTCTATGACTGGAAGTTCTTTAACCAAAGAGTGATGCGGTCGAAGTTAGTTATGTTTTGAAAGAGCATTCTGCTAGATAGAGAAATATGGGCAAGCAAGAGTGGAAACATGGAGAGCTGTTAAGAGGCTATGGCATAATCCAGATGAGAGATTATTTTGATGCTTGAACTCAGGCACTGGCAGCAAAGATGGGGTAGACGGATTTATGGTATGTTTTGGGATAGAGTTGACAGTATTTCCTGAAGGATTCGATATGGAAGGTAAGAGTAAGAAATGAAACAAGAGTAACTTATCCTGAGTCTGGCTTCAGCAACTGGAAGGATGATGGTGCTGGTGAAGGTGGGGAATCCACAGTCTTTTTCTGTCGAGGATAATTTGAAGATTTTGTGTGATATAGCAGAGGATAACTCAAGTAATTGGATATATATTGTGGTGCGGATGTCGTTGTCCTCTTTGTTGGCCATACGCCTGCAGTGCGTTTCTCAGCCCCCTTTAAGTAGCAACCAGTGCTGTGCTCTCCCCAATGAAAAGTGAACAGGAGAGATGTGCACCGTTGTCGGGCTGGGTCCAGAAAATTTGTCAACAGGTGCTCTTACTTACTCTGCCAGCTAGATGGTGATGAGAAGGTTCTGGAGAAGGCAAGGCTTCAAGATGGAAGATTCCTGAGTAGAGGAGAACCTCTGCTCCATTGACTTATATATCTACCCAGGACTGTTATATGGGAAAAAAATAAACCTTTATTATTTGGATCTTTTATGTAGTTGAGTCTTTTTATAATAGCAGCTTTGCCTGTGCTGTCTAATATAAATAAGAGCAGTGGTCCAGCAGCAAACTTTGGGAGGAAATTTCTAGATGAATTGACATTATCCATAATAGGAAATAAAAGGTGCTTGGATTTATTCATTTGTTGCTTCCATAATAATTTATCAGGTGCCTCGCTGTGTCAGGCACTGTGTTACATATAGAAATGCAGAGATGAGGGGTGCCTGGGTGGCTCAGTGGGTTGAAGCCTCTGCCTTCGGCTCAGGTCGTGATCCCGGGGTTCTGGGATCTAGCCCCACATCGGGCTCTCTGCTTGGCGGGGAACCTGCTTCCTCCTCTCTCTCTGCCTGCCTCTCTGCCTACTTGTGATTTCTCTCTGTCAAATAAATAAATAAAATCTTAAAAAAAAAAAAAAAAAGAAATGAAGAGATGAAGAGCTCGTACACTGAGTGTGGCAACTCAACTCATTGACTATTACTTTACATGTTCTTCAACCACATTCCAAATACCATTTTAGGGGCACCAGGGTGGCTCAGTCGGTTTCAGTTCAGGTCATGATCTCAGGGTCATGCAGTGGAACCACGTGTTAGGCTTTGGGCTCAGCGCAGAGTCTGATTGAGATTCTCTCTCCCTCTAGTTCATGCTATCTGTCCCTCAAATAAATAAAAATAAAATCTAAAAAAACAAAATTTTTTATCAGAAAGACATGTCTAATTCTTATCCCCAATCTAAGTCAGATTTTCTAATTGTCTCATAACGTACTTTCTTGTACTTACCACAGTTTTTATTTATGTGTTTATTTGTTTGTTATTCTTTAGTGTTCTTTCCCCAACTAGGCTGTAAATGATCTCAAGAGAAAGAATCTTACCTGTACTATTGACCACATGTTCAAAACTTAACCCACTGCCGGTGTTTAATAAATATTTGCTAAAGGAATCAGTGAATGGAGAAGGCAGAGCCCAGAGGAAGAAGTTTCCTCCATTTTTTGCTGGGGAGGTGGCTGTGGTAGGCAACTTCTAATGTAGCCATCAGTGATGCCCACCTGTAGGTATTCATGATCTTGTGTAATCCCCTCACCCTGCTTGTGGGCTGATCTGGGGACTTGCTTCTTCTTCTTCTTCTTTTTTTTTTTTTTTAAGAGATCATACTACTCTTTTTTTTTTAAGCTCTTTTGTTTGTTTGTTTGTTTGTTTAAAGAGAGAGAGCATGAGAGGGGAGAAGGTGAGAGGGAGAAGCAAACTCCCCGTGGACCCAGGAGCTGGATGTAGGACTCAATCCCAGCACTCCAGAATCATGACCCAAGCCGAAGGCAGTCACTTAACCAACTGAGACACCCAGGCACCCTGGTGACTTGCTTCTAATGATGAGATGTCATGTCTCAGATTACATTACAGAAGGACTTTATCTTCCATCTTGGGCATCCTCTTTTACTGTCTTCCTCATTTGCTCTGAAAGAAGCCAACTCAAATGTGAGGTTCTTTATTAGTTTCCCGGGGGCTGCCATAATAAATTACCATAAACTGGGTGATTTAAAATAATAGGAATTTTATTTTCTCACTGTTCTGGAAGCCAAAAGTGTGAATTCTATGTGTTAGCAGAGCTGTGCTCCCTATGAAGTCTCTAGGGGAGAATCCTTCCTTACCTCTTTAAGTTTCTGGTGGCTTGCAGCAGTCCTCAGCAGCATTCCTTGGGCAAAAGGAGTGCATTACTCCAGTCTCTGTCTGTCTTCACATGGCCTCATTCTCTGTGGCCTCGCCTCTTATGAAAACACTATCATTGCATTTAGGGGCTGCCCTAATCCAGTATGATTTTGTCTTAATTACATCTGCAAAGATGCTGTTTCTAAATAAGGTCACATTCTGAGGTTCCATGTGGACATAAATTTGGAGGGGAGGATACTAATCAGCCCACTATAGTTGCCTAGTAGAGGGGCCCACATGTCAAGGAACTACTGTCTCTTGCCAACTGACAATGAGAAGCTGAGACCTGCCAAAGACCACATAAATGACCTTAGAATGGATCATCCCTCAGTTGAGCCTTGAGGTGATTACAGCCTTCTGTGCCAGGAGGAGGCACCCAGCTAAATTGTGCCCAAATTCCTGACCCACAGAAACTGAGATAACAAATGTTGTTTTTAGGACACCGAATTTGGGAGTAATTGTCATGCAGCATAGATAACTAATACAGATTTTGGTGCCTGGAAGTGGGATGCTGCCATAACAACTACCTAAAATGTGGGAGTGGCTTAGAACCAGTGATGGGGCTCCTGGGTCGCTCAGTGGGTTAAGCCTCTGCCTTCGGCTCAGGTCATGGTCTCAGGGTCCTGGGATCAAGACCCACATCGGGCTCTCTGCTCAGCAGGGAGCCTGCTCCCCCCCCCACCTCTGCCTGCCTCTCTGCCTACTTGTGATCTCTCTTTCTCGCTCTCAAATAAATTCTTTTAAAAAAAAGAAAGAACCAGGCAGTGAACAGAGGCTGGAATGATTTTTAGGAGTGCATTAAAGAAAGCCTATCTTGAAGAAACTTTAGAAATATAGGCTTCGGGGGCACCTGAGTACCTCAGTCAGTTAAGTGTCTGCCTTTGGCTTGGGTCATGATCCCAGAGTCCTGGAATTAAGCCCTGCATCCGGCTCCCTGCTCAGTGGAGAACTTTCTTCTCCCTCTACCCCTCACCCCGCGTGCTCTCTCTCTCTCTCAAATAAATAAAATAATTTTTAAAAATCTGGACATTGAAGAGACTGTGAGGGCTCAAAAGGAAATAAGGAAC